CAAAGGACGGCCTGTGATGGAGACCAACCCCAGAAAGACAGGGGATACAAAGGCTGACAGGCTGTCAACAAATGTGGTTATGAGACAGACGAGGAGTGAAGAAAAGGCCAGCGGCTCGGGTCAGAACTGCAGTTATAGCTCTCTTGCTGAATTTGCTGACTTGGGAACTTCCACGGATTTTAAACCTTCAGAAAAATACTGATTTTCTTCTTCGTTCAATTGAAAAATCCCATGGCCAAAGACCGAAAATGAACCAAATGAATGGGGAGGGAATTGGGAGGCTCCCAGGAGAGTAAAACCAGACAGGGAGCATCCCAATCAGAGACAGGGGGCCTGGCCTCCAGTGAACCAGCTCGCATCTCTGGGCTCAAGACACTATTTGTAAAAAAAGCAAGACAACGTCTGCCCGCCTTGGGTACATCCTAAATATGCATTTCATGGCTGCTTTGGAGAGAAAAATATATTTATAGTTCCTTTAGTGCCATTCCAGTCTATTGTGTAAATATGTAAATTAGGTTTCGTGATCTACACAGTAAAATGCCTCGGGATAATTTGTGTAAATAAATCATCTGCATATGCCCACTGCATAGTTTCCACTGCCTTCCAGGGAGCTTCGCAACACTGCTTCCGAGGAAACGTACGCACAACCAGAGAGATGCGTCTTTGGCAAGGCTGTCCCGTGGAGTCGGACGCGACGTCCTTGGGCCCGCACTCACTGACCACCCTTCTCCAGGAACGAGGGAGTCTGTGTTCTAGCCCGAGGCTAATTTCATTAGCTGTTGTTCAGTTCCCTGTCGTGTCTCCACATTAGGGCAGCAATGGGGCTATTCAGCAGAATTTGCAGGGGTTAAAATGAGGATGCAGGAGAGCGTGAATCTGACTGCCATCTGCCTGGGCTGCCCGGCCTGCTGGCCACCCTCTCGGCACCAGCCATCAAGGAGCTTCTTGCCCCCCAGGAGCAAGACAGACATTTGGCCGCATGGGAAGACACCAGGCCGAGCAGACAGCCTGGGGCCCCAGGGGCCACTCAACACAAAGTGGCTCAGTCTTCCCAGACACCCAGCCATGAGGGATCCTAGTGTGGCTGGGTGGCCCCCTTGTAATGAAAAACAGGGCCCATATATACATACCAAGCTCCTTCCAGAAAACCACTCCTCTGCCTGGAGAAAGTCTTGCCAGGGAGCTTTGGTGGGGAAAATGAGATGATGCAGCATTTAATGTCTTGTGTAATGAGGCCTGTAATAGATGACAGCTGAGATCCAAAGCCCCGAGGTACCGGCAAGGTGCTTAAATATTGACAACCCACAAAAGCGTTTCATTTGACTCTGAGTGCTGCGGGCCTCGGTCACAGAGGGAGGGGGCGTCTTTCTCAACTTTCAACGGCAAGACAGCGAGTCCAGCAGCCTGCTTTGGTTCAGCCAACAATCCGAAAGGGAAATCTTTGGCAACCTGCTTTTGAACGTTGAATAACAAAACGGAAGTGCAGAATCTTTAGCGCTAATTGGAAAAGACAGCGTCTTCCAGGTCAGTTTGTTGTAGTGTCTTCGTCCCCTGTGGGTCACTTTCCACATTCTGGTCCCAACCCTGCTGAGTTCAGACCTCCAGCTGAATTCAGAAGGCTTCTGTTTGGGCAAGGCCCTCTAGCTGTGGGGCTCAGTGTGAGACCCAAGCCCACATCCAAATTAGTTCTTATTCACACCACCTTGCAGACTCCCCGAAGCTGCACTTCTAACCATAGGCATCCTGTTTCCTTCTTGGATGAGCATATGACAACCTGAGGAGAAATTAAATGGCTCCCCAGGCAAGCCTGGGAATCAATACCTTGTCATTTCTCGGAAAGTGCCGAAACGTGCTCGCTAGTGTTGAGATTCTCAGCCCATGCTCTGGTGTCTGGCTGGTGAAATGTTACATTGCCCACAGGCTGATCTCTGACATGAGAATGCTTGTTTCTAAGATATGTTGGTGCACTTGACTGAACAGGGTGAGGAGACCACCATGTGATTTTTAAAAATTTTAAGCTCAACTTTTTATTTTGTGATAATTGTAGATTCCTATGCAGTTGTAGAAAATACTACAGGACCCATGTGTCCTTTATCCAGTGTCCTCCAATGGCATCATCTTGCAAAACTACAGCACAACCTCACACCGTGATACGGACACAGTCCAGATACAGAGCATTTCCCTCACCAAGGATCCCTCTGGGGGCCCCCACATAGCCCCACATCTATTGGGATTTTTTTTGTGTGTGAGGAAGACTTGCTCTGAGCTAACATCTGTGCCCATCTTCCTCCATTTTGTATATGGGATGCCACCACAGCATGGCTTTACGAGTGGTGCGTAGGTCTGCCTCCGGGATCTGAACCTGTGAACCCCGGGCCGCCGAAGCAGAGCACAAGTACTTAACCACTATGCCACCGGGCCAGCCCCTCTACTGGGATTTTTAACTCTCTAGTCAGGGAGACTAGATCTATCCATTTCCTTCTATCCTTCAGGTAGAAGGAAATGGCTTGGCAAGAGTCTCCTGTATGTGTCAGTCTCTAGTGCAAAGGCTTCTTAATCTTTTCTTGGTGCTGTGGACCCCTTTCGTAACCTGTTGACTCTGAAGGACACTGTCTCAGAATGGTTTTAGATGGATAAAATAAAATTGAAAATTGAAAAGTTATATTGGTAACGCTTATAATTACCTAGAGGTAATGGAAGTTCATAGTAATGTCTGCCTCCTAGTTATGCTGAAGGTGTGGATCATGTGGGGTTTTCTTTGCACCACTTGCTCAGCTACATGGTTCTTTGGAAGATGTGGTGGAGAGAGTTGGATTTAGGTGACCACCTTTTCCCAGGGCAACTTTGGATAGCAAGGTCTAGCAGGAGTCTACACAGGATTGTGGTGTCTATGTAATGACGCGTGTAAACGATCTTGTGAAATGTCTGCCAGAGCTGGAACGTGGTATGAAAGTAGCTGTGATTTCTACTGCTGACAATTTCACAAGGACTGCCATTACCTATGTGGTTTCTTACCTACTGCTATGGGTTGAATTGTGTCCCTTCAAAATTCCTATGTTCAAGGCCTAATCCCCAATATCTCAAAACGCGACCTGATTTGGAAACAGTGTCATTGCAGATGTAATTAGTTAAGATGGGGTCATCAGGGTGGGCCCTAGTCCAATAAGACTGGTGTCCTCATAAAAAGGGGAAATTTGGACACACACAGACACACAGAGAAGGTCATGGGAAGAGGAAGGCAGAGATCAGGATGATGCTGCTTCTACAAGCCAAGGGCCAAGGATTTCCAGGAACATACCAGAAGTGAGGGGAGAGGCCTGCAGCAGACTCTCCCTCACGGGTTCCTCAGAAGGAACCAGTCCCGCCAATACCTCAGTCCTGGACTTCCAGCCTCCCAAACCATGACACCACAAATTTCTGTTATTTAAGCCGCCCAGCCCGTGGCACTTGGTTACAGCAGTACTAGCAAACTAACCCACCTACATTTATAAGTGAAGGAAATGCTCAATTTCAGTGAGAGGCTAGTGAAAACAAACGGGTATTTTTTCCCATCGAAGTTCATGGATCTCCTGAATTCTATCATGGGCCCCTTGGTGGGCCTGAAGAGTGGCAAAGTAACCTTTGTAATAAATGCCCTCCCTCGGTTTGGGGAGAAAACTGGTTGAGTTGTTTCCTTCAGGCCACTGCAGCTCCACAGCCCCAGTTTGGGCCCAGATCTCGTGAGGGCCTTCACTTCCAAGCTCTTGTCCATCTCTGCAAGTGCTCTGGACTCAAACGTCATCAGCACAGAGCCGGTTGGCTATTCTAGGGGCCATCTGCTTTCAGGGGTATGGGGGTATCTGAGTGACCACAGAGGCCGCTGCCTAGCCCTGGCCCGTCACTGATCTGGGACCCTCTATTTCCAGAACAGGCTGAATGCCTTGCTCAGCAGAAACTATCAGAATCCCTCAGGCTGGCAAGCTGAATGTGTGAGTTCTTGAGCCAAAGAATTTTTCATGTGACCCTTAAATAAAAATTTTTTTGGTCTTATGTACTAGGTTTCCCCTTAGAAATTTCTAGAAGGCACTTACTTATAACCAGTAATCTTTCAAAAGCAATTTGGTGAGGGAGGAGGGGACGTCTCTGACACAGTGATGTATGTAACTTTGGGGATTTTTCCTCTTGGTCTAACAGCTTCTTTAAATATTAGGCTAAAATGATTCTTAGCACAGTGGTCCATCAGCCGGGCAGGGTGTGGCAATTCGCTTTCTGAACACATCTCTGGCACATGGTGTATTTTCACGCTCAGATATTCCTGATTAACCATGCAGCCGTCTGAAGGTCACAGTGAACACGCTCAGTGCTCTCTGCATTTGGGGTACCCGCTAGCTCTATGCAGTAATATCCACTCAAGCCATCAGAAACTCATTTTCCAATATTCTCCATCTTTAGTTATTAAAGTTAAATGGAAGGAAGGGGGGAAACCCCCTCAGGGCAGATAGGGTCAAGAATGGATCTTAGACCTCATTTTCAGAAGCCTCAACGATGAAGCAGATGCTGTATCGGTTTCACTATTAAAAAGAATAATCATAATGATCAGAGATGAGCATGACTCTTTCTGTCTAGGTTGCAAACATCCAGAACCCTGAGATGAATGTCCCTGAAAACACTCTTGGATCTTACTGAGGAGTTGACAATGTCTTTACACGTCCCTAAGTTCTCATGTGCACATTTCTGAGAATGACAATTAGCCTAAGTGAGTGTAATGTGGCTAAAACAGCACGAATCTGATGCCTGCGGGGTTGCCAGCCCCATCATGACTATGAACCCTGAGAGGAGAGTGAGGAATGAACCCCTCCTTTCAACTAAACTGCCCTCTCTGTCTCAGCGTATTAGGGAGAGGCTGAGAGAGAAGGAGACCAACGGGCTCTGACACTGGGCCCTTAGGAACGTGGCTTCACTCCGCGGAGACACCACTGTTGGGCAGCGCCTGATTCTGCCCAGAGGGCCGCCACCCTTACCTGAGGGCCTGGCCTCTATGACGTAGCCTGTGGTCGGCGTCTTGCCGGCATCTCCCTCCGTCCACTGCAGGGTCAGTTCAGAGGCGGATTTGGTGACCGAGACATGTCTAGGGGAACCCGGGGAACCTGTGGGATAAGCAGAAAAGAGAGGGTAGATTTGGGCCCTCAGTGGATTCCTCATCCTGCAGGGTGGGGCTGGCTCTGTCGAGGTTTCTAGTTCTGCAGGCAGGTGGCTTAGCCTTGCCCAGTCACAGTTTTCTCATCTTAAAAATGAGAAAGCTGACACTGGCCTCATGGGGCTGCCCAGAAGATGGAAAGAGATGACACGGGCAAAGTGCCCAGTGCCGTGCCCGGCACAGCATGGGCCCTCTGTAAAACTTGATTCAGCCACCCTCGCCTTAACAAGTATTTGCACGAAGGCCAAAATCATTTGTTAAATGGGAGCTACATGGCTCCTCTCCATGATGTGAAAACTTTTAAATATCCTTAATTTCACTATTTCAAATATTGATTTTCAAATATTTCAAAAATTGAATTCACTTGTTTTCTCTTAATTTTTTCCATAAACAAATAAAAACTTTATATGCTTAACACCTAAGAATTTGCTCAATCTATATTTAACAAGTCCACCTGTAGAAGTCCATGTTCGTACATGATTTGAAGACATCCACAATGTCAAAATATCCTTAAGGTTAGGCCAGCTCCGACGCGGCCAGCACTGCTTTAGGGAGAGTGTAGACAAACCGCTAACATGACAGAGCACGAGGGGAAGGCTGCAGCCGCCACTGACCAGAGCTGTCTGACAGCCGAAGTCCACTTACCCTCAGCTGGCCCGGCCGTGACATTCGCTTGTAGCTCGGGCCCGTAGGTGATGGTCCGCGCTTGTACACGGAAGAAATAGGTCACTCCTTTTGTGAGATCCCGCACCTTTAGCCAGCGCTGCCAGTTCCCTTTCACGTCCACCGTCACCACCTTACTCACCCCTAGAACCATCAAGAGCAGAGGCAAGAAGCAGGCTCGGTTTAGACAAGCAACTGAGCACTGTCTATCCCGCTGCCATAACTAGGAGAACCACCCCCACTCTGCGAAGGAAGTATTTCTTATAATTAGGAGGAGTTTAAGTGGTGATAATAGCCAATTTTCAGCACAGATAAGTGTAATTAGAGTCTCAGGTTGATAAGTGGGTGCTGACAAAGGAGAGAGCACGACGGGGGAGGCAGCCCACTGTCTCACTAATCACCTTAGGAGGAAGAGAAACACCAGCCAACAGGCACTGTGGGGGGGCTGAGGTCCCCCTGTCTCCAGGTCAGGGCTCCCTGAGGATATTCTGGAAAAGATCCCTTCCCCACTTGGCTCTGAACTTGCACAGGTGACCTCGAGCTTCCTGACTGAGTCACAGGGGGAGGAGAACATGGAACAAGACACAGGGAGACCTTCATGTTAGTTACAAGGTGGGCTTCCCCCATGAGGGGTCTCCAGCCTGACTGGGTTGGCCAACCTGTGGCCTAAAGGCCTCAAGCAACTCTTGACAATTTCATCTGTGGACCCTGAAGCGAGGATGAAGAAAAATTTGTCGTCACAAATATCAATGCCTCGATTCAGAGAACGATGATGACACAGAGCCAAGTGTCACTCATAAATATGTAAACGAAGCCAAAGCGTTGCTGAGTGCATTAAGCATAATTAGAAAATAGAGATTTAACATTTTGGGAGGAAGATATGTACTGAAAACTACACAAACGTAGACTTTCCTGGAAGGAAAAACGGGCCTCTCTGGTTAAGTAAGTTTGAAGATGATGCATTTAAAAAAAAAGTTCCATAAACTCGCGAATGCAGGATTTCTCAGAGTTTTCAATGTCTTCATTTCTATCAGGTATCTCTTGGAGGCGGATGTAAGGATGGGGCATTTCCAAGACTTCTTAGTCAGCAGAACTCATTTACAAGAGCTGTACCTGGTACATGGCGCCGGCCGTCCTGGGTCCACCTGTCCATCCCCACTGCCTCCCATGTACAGAGAACCAACAGGCTTCCCAGGACAGCACCCATTGGTTGGCCTGCCCTCAGAGTGGGTGGTATGGTGCTATCAGCACCTTTAATCCTAGAGTAGCCTTGACCTCCGGAGAGCCCAACAAATTGGACCCATCTTTCAAAGTCATTGAAGCAAATTTCTCTATCCTATAGGTCTCCAAAATACCTTCTAGTTGATTCACAGTTTTCATATTATGCCTTTTATAAAACATTTATTCAGCTAAATTATTCTCTTTCACATTATTTCAGAGTGATTTTGACTGCTTTTGAGTGACCTCCAAATTTGAGCTTTTCTGTAGAGAAACAGGGCCATTTCTGCCCAGAGAGCCAGACCCTCTCTTTGCATCGCCTGAGAAAGGGGCTTCAGGGATGACAATTTGCACACACAATGACCATCAGCAGCAAATGGACTGGGTCCTGTTGGATATAGTCATTCTGGATAGCAGCCCCTTTTTTGGTTAAAAAATGCCTTCTTTCTCCCCAGAGCAAAAACAAACCCACGTACAGATTTTTTGAATTCTGTCCCACTAGGAGGTAGAACTAGGCTGGCCTTCCTCCATCTCAACTATGTCAGGATCTTATTTATCTAGTCAGTTTTTAAACCATGCCCCGTATTACAAAGCCTCAGGGTGCAATCACATAAAATACTGCCACTTACAACATTTTAAAAAAACATAAAAATAACTGTGCCATAAAATCAGATTCCCAAGAACATGTCTCAATGCTCCATGCGGTTCGGTGCTCTAGGGAGTGTTTGGTGCTCCCCATAGTGACCGGCAGACTGGCCAGGTCCGGGACGGGTGTGGGCCCCACCTCAGCACACGGGCTGAGCCGGGACTGTTTTCCCAAGGGAGTGACCACAGGTCCACTGGCACTGGATAAATGCTGTGCTCTCTACTCCCTGGGCTGGGGCTGATAAACACTTGGCCGGGACCTGCAGATTTCTACCCACTGCCCAGTCCTGGAGGAGGCATGAAAAGGCCAGGAGAGTCACTCTCAGGTGACACGATTGTTTTCCAACTTACAAAAATATATTTTTTACTCTCTTTGCCACACACACGTACATAGGTACATAAACATATATACCGTATCTTTGGCAATGTTCACATTACCAAACCAGCATTACCATGGAGAGTTCATATAATTGTAGCCCCAAATAAAGACGCCTGATGTGTTCACTACATTTGCAATCAGATGTCTGGGAAATGCATGGATTCCACGAGGCATATGAAAGTATTACTGCTTTCATGGTTCCCTGTTGGAGACCCCCGATCCAACAGTGAGGGGGTGAGGGTCAGGCTTCTCCAGGAGACCCCACACTCAGAAGGCCTGCACACTGATCTGGTTGGCTAGCCGCCTGAAGGGGAGGAGATAAACAATTGAACAGCTCTCCGGGTGAGAGGTGGAACGAGGGGCCGCTGGGGGGAGATGGGACAGCGAGGGCTGGATGAGCCGGTGGGGAGGCTGCGCAACTGGACCTTGCGAGGTACAGGAAGCTGTGTACTATCTTCCCAGTCACTGCCCTCTGTTCAAACACTCTGTCCTTAACTGCAACTCCATCCCACAGCACTTGGTCCTTTCCAGTTATCCAATAGCACGGTCTCATATTCAACTGAAAGTTCTCCTTACCCCTTTGCCTGCCCCAGGAGGTCAAAATGCACCCAAGTGCCCAAGGGTGGAGAGGGGCCACAGGGCAAGCAACTCCTGCTCTGATTTTCCACCCCCTGCTGGTCTATGTTCCTCTTCTGGCCTGTGTGGCTGCAGGGCATGGCTAGCTGGAAGGGGTCAGCCCTATTGTCTAGTGTCTGGCTAAGCCAGTGGTGCTGGGAGATGCCATCAGTCCAGGCAGGCACACGGTGGGATCCTGAGAAGAGACGCCAGCGTCAGTGGTCAGCAAAGCCACCTCAGAAGGGTACAGGGTCAATTGGGGAGGCACTCGGGCACAGGGTTGGTGAGTTCTGCTCCCAGGAACAGGTTGTCTGCTGGTTGCCAGAGAGGCCAGGAGGAGGTGTGAAGCCTGTGGCAGCCTCACCCCTAGCTGGAGCAGGGACAGAGCTGTTGGGGGGATGGGGTCTGCGGTTGGAGGTGGAGAACCCAGTGGGGGCCCCTTAGTCTTCGTGAGGGTCTGGTGCTTCGAGGCAGTGCTGCCACGCCTCTGGGCGGGGGCTGGATGCTTCCCGTCATCAGCCCTCTGGAGCAGCTCAAGCCCCGGGCCACCACTTGACAGATGAGCAGGAATCAGGAAGTCTGGGATGTGCCCAAGCCACCAACGTGGTCAAAATTTGGGGGTCTGGGGGCCGGCCCGGTGGCATAGTGGTTAAGTTCATTGCGCTCTGCTTCAGTGCCCCGGGGTTTGTGGGTTCAGATCCTGGGCCCAGACCTACAACACTCATCAAGCCATGCTGTGGCAGTGACCCACATACAAAATACAGGAAGATGGGCAACGGATGTTAGCTCAGGCACAATCTTCCTCACCAAAAAACAAACAAACAAACAAACAAACAAACAAAAACAATTGGGGGAGTCGGAATGGTTTTCTCTTCTTGAGGGCCCAGGGAGAGCTGATGAAGCCGTTCACGCTGAGATTCTGGTCATTCTCTCACCTGCTGAGTGAAGGAGCGAGCCGCAGAACCGAAGCGCTTCCTCCTCCCACTCACCTTTTAGAGCACATCACGCTCATCACAAAAGCCAGGAAAATCCAGGCTGAAAGAGCCAGCCCTTCCCGACAGACGGAACAGACTATGCTGGTGACAAACTGTCTCATTACTTGTGAAGAGGGGAAAATGGTTGTGACCAAAGTGACTCCATCCGCTGTCACGTGGGAGAATGACAAGCCCCATTCCCGGGAATGTGACCCGCTTTAATGACTGTCCCTCATGCTCCATCCCTGTGACGTTCACCATCACGTTTACCTTCAGAAACACAAGCGCTCCAGACAGTTTCTCCCCAACACGTAGCAGTTTAGACCTTGGCTCTCAAACCAGACTGTCTGGGTTCAAATCCCACCCTTCTCCAACCTTCCGAACTGTAGGCTCTGGGCAAACATCTTAAGGGCTCCTAGCCTGATTTCTTTGCGGAATGAGAATAAAAGCGGCCCCTGCAGCATAGGGCTGTTGTGAGGATTTGGAGAGAACGTGTCAGTGCTGAGCATGTGCCTGGTCTATAGTGAGTGCTCCATAAATGTTACCTGCATTGTTGTGGACCTGGTGGGATTGGTTTATAGGGAGCACAGAATGCTGCATGACACAAGAGACAGCAGATGTGCAGGGTTCCCTCTCTGGGGGTTCTCACAGCAACCCAGCAGCAATTCTAGGAGAGTGAGCGTGCAGAGAGGAGGACATCAGGAAGCAACGTCCAGGCCCCGCTGTGGCATCCGACTGGGTGATGATCACAGCAATGGTCCTGCCTGGACAGCGAGTACTTATTTACAAGACTAAGAGGGCCAGCCCAGGAGACAGGCCCAGAGGTGCACGCTATGGAGTTTCCAGAGAGATTCTGCAAACCCATTAACACAGAAGTACTGGTCAACAGAGTAAGTCACTTATTTGAGGAAGTGTGGGAAAGTCATTGGCTGTGATGAGGAAGGACCCCGTAGGCCAATCAGAATCATGAGTTTTGGCAGTCCTTTCTCATTTGAATGGCACTAGTTGGTTAATATCCTTGAAAAGGTGTTAGGGACATGGGCTCATGGAACTAATGTGTGTGTGTGTTTGTGTGTGTGTGTGCGTGTGTGTGCAAGGAATAATGGTGAGCAGAATGGAAGGTTCCCAGGCCACCTGGTGCCCAGACAGGTGCTCGGTTCTGAAAAGAACACAGTCCAGCGTGGCCACACTAAATCAACGCTGGTCCCAGGCCCTCTTTTACAAACCGTATCCACATTTCACCTCTACTGTTTTTTCATCGATTGACTGAGACGCACTTTTTTCCCCTCACATTTCCACTTCTCTGATTTGGGATGCAGCTCGGAATGGATGATACAAAAATCCTGGGCCATAGCTTATTGGAATCCTTTTTTCTTTCTTAGCACTTCATAAAATAGCAGTGAATCTTACAGTCAATGGCATCTTAGATTCGATGAAATAAAATCTAGTGCTTAAATTTTCCTCTTCCAATCAGCTCCCTGTTTTACTTGAGTGTACTTATTTTCAAAGGAAATTTTTATCACGGCTTTAAATGGGGAGCCGATATTACTTGAAGTGTTGGTTATATTTTTTCCTCCTCGATATTAAATAATCTATAAGTTTTACCATCTGTCTGTGTATATTTCCAGGGGAAACTGCCCTGGGCTTGTCTCTCTTCTCTGGCAGCACCATGCCGGGGACACAGTGGGCAGGGAAAGAAACGCCCAGGGAACAGTCAGGAAACACATCAGTAGTGGAGTAGAGAGGAGAGACGGATATGTAAGAAATTAATACAATACAGGAGCTGGGTAACATTTTAATACAGACGGACATGAGTAGCTGCCACATGAATGACAGAGCAATGCCACTCACTTCCCTCATCTTCCCATCCAGTCGAGCCATGTTCCCTTGGCTCCACCTCCAAAATGTGCCCCTAATCTGTCCACTTCTCGCCCTCTCCCCCATCACCCCTACTCTGAGCTCCCTTTCCAGAAACCACAACAGCCCCCACTGGCCTCTGTACGCCCAAGCCCCTGCACCAGGCCCGCAACCCATTCTCCCCAAAAGCTCTGCATTTCACTTTCTGTTTCCAACTATTATTCATTTTTATGTCTTTGTCGTTGCTTCTCTCAAGCTCCTCTGTGTTTAAACATTTCCTCTGCTCTTCTTGGAGGATCGGTGTTTCTGATTGGTCCTAGGAAGTTTGGAGGTGATCGATACATCTTTTCATCCCAGGGCATTTAGACTTTGGGATTTAGCCAGAGGGATCCTGGTCTTGCATAAATCAGATCTTCTCATTCACAGCCACTGTGGCCCCACGTGACTTGGCCCTGCTGGCAGCATGAAGGCGTCTTGTGCTACCAGCCTCCTCACTCACTAAGCTCTGGCCACGGGAGACACCGGGCCCCTGGCCCCGGGGGGCCTTTGTGTTACTGAGCCTTCTGTAGGAAGGTCTTCCCTTGGGTTGTGGGAGCCTGGGTCCTTCCTGTCACTCAAGTCCTTCCCTTGCCCAACACTATCATGTTATTACACCACTCTCTTTCTTCACAGCCCTGATCAGTATCAGATTTTTGTTCGTTTAATTATGTGTGTGTCACCTCTCTCCTCACTGAAATACAAACTCACTGGATTCAGGACAGCAAGGATCTTGATAAACACGTCAGTTAAGATCCTTGCTTTCGTGGATCTGAAGATTCCAGCATCCAAAACAGTACTTGGCATGCAGCAGGTGCTTAATAAATGCTTGTTGAGTGAATGAATGAAGGGTAGCACCAGAGAAATATCTGAGCACACTGGGCCGTCTGCACCTCTCCCGGGATGCCGATGGTGTCTTATAGGCCAGCACGGCCCCATGTGGTTCCAACAAGTGGCATTCACGGTGGTCTCCATGGGTGCCCAGGAGGGCTGGAGTCTCAGGAGGAACAGGAAAGAAAGGTTTTGGGATTAAAGAGACCAGGTTGGGGGGTGAACACACACAGGCCCGTAGAGAGAGCGCTGAGCTGGAACCCAGGACCCAGAGGTTCTGGTCCCGGCTCAGCCTTTGTTCACCAGGCCTCTTCCACAAGGCTCCTCGCCTGCAGAGGAGGACCCGCGGCCTCGCTCTGTGCACTGTGGAGCGCTGTGCACCCGTGAGGCCAGCCCGCCCCTGCTCCCCTCTGGCCTTACCTTGCACAGGTGCTAAGGGCTCGTATACCACTCGATAGCCCTGCAGGATGCCGTTGGCTGCCACTGGCTCACCCCAGGAAACGTTAAGTGTGGTGGAGGTGATTTCGGAGAACGCCAGAAAGCTGGGGGTCCCAGGAGCTGGAAGAACAGAACATAAAGGGACTTGCACCCTTTATAGATCTTGCACCTTGCTCCTTTATAGATCATCTACATACATGGCTCTGCCTCCACACAGAATACCGAGGTTATTAGATGTTATTTTCAAAAAAGTCTAAATGCCATGTGATGAAAAGAAGATTTATTGATCATCTCCAAACTTCCTAGGATCAATCAGAAACTCAGACCCTCCTGAGAAGAGCAGAGAAAATGATGGTGTTTAAACACAAAGGAGCCTGAGAGACGCAATGACAAAGGCATAAAAATGAATAATAGATGGAGACTGAAAATGAAATGCAGAAAGCTCCATTTTCTAGCAACTGCTAGAGGATTCCAGAAGCTCTTATCCTGCTCTTCTGGGGAGAGACGGGGCTCTGCAATGGCTGAAGGCTCTGCCCACCTCTCCTCTCCTCTTCCACAGGCCTGGAGGTCTCAGAGGACGACCCCTAGCCCTCATTTGAAATCTCACAGGGCACTCTGCCATCTCAGTGTCCCCTCTTGTCTGGAGAGAGGCAGGAGCTAAGGGCCATCCTGAGCTGGAAGAAGTTACCAGCAGAAGCAGACGGCCAGGTGTGTGGCCAGGGAGCTATGCCTACCCTGCTCACAGCTCCCCTTCAGTCTGGGCTCCGTGTGAGGGTGTGGGGTAGGTGCTGGCCCCAAAGCTGCCTCTACCTGATGGCCTGGATGGGGACCAACTCCGCTCTACCTTGGTTCTCCTCGGTGCTCAGAAATGCCCACTGGATCGGCACCCACTCGTCCCCCTTTCTGCCCTCCTACAGTCCCTGGAGGCCCTTTGTCCCCATGACCTGCCAGGCCCGCAGTGCCCTGATGTGGCCCCCACCCCTACTCTCTGCCTCACTGATCTGCCCATGTCCTTCCAGCTCAGAGTCTGCAAACGGCCTCTCTTGAGCTGCTGGATGAGGCCCAAAGGAAGCAATCCTTGCAATCTGGTCCTGGTCATCTCATGGGAAGCATGATGCTCAGAGCCCCTGTCCCCAGGAAATGAATTATCTAGGTAGGGTGTTAGTTGGCTGAACCCACAGAATGTCAGGGAGCCCTGTGGGAGCCCCGAGTGAGGCAGGTCTTTCCCCCATGGGCTCCCTAACTTCACTTTCCTGGCCTTCAACTTTCTAGATCTTACAAAGTGCCTCAGAGCTCCCCGGGCCCCAAGGCCAACAAGCCACCATTTCTTTCAGCTGATCCTTTCCTGATCAGCTTCATAATGTTCTCCAGGCCACTAGGAAACTCTGAGATGCGTGGGAGGAGTGGCTGATCTGCTCTAAACATACACTGCATGTGGAGATGAGGCCACAGGCAGTGGACAACTGGCAGCACAGCCTCTGCCATGCTGCTGGACCTGGCCTGGGGCGTGTGTCTGAGAGATGGCTGGCGAGATGTTTCCAGGGTGGTCTGTGGCCCTGAAACACAGGAGAATGCCCAATACTGTGGCCTGGGCTCAACATACAAGGAACTCACTCTCCACTCCCCTGCCCCCGGGGATCTGGACACATTAGTATAGAGACACTGATGAGAAGTTCCCTGAGAGAACTTGAACAAATCCTGTTGGTTATGAATGAGGCTGAGGTATAGATGCAAAGCCCTTCTTCCCCTCCACTATCCTGGAGGGCTCCGGAGAAAAACATGCGTTGCTCATATCTGTGTAACAATTACTGAGTACCACCATGCACCAGGCCAAAGCCAAGCACTGAGGAAACCAAATGAACCAAACCCAGAAATTCCTGCCTCTCCAGACATTCCCAGTATGAAACGAATAAGAAAAACCTCAATTGGGCCGGCTCCGTGGCTTAGCGGTTAAGTGCGCACGCTCTGATGCTGGCGGCCCGGGTTCGGATCCCGGGCACGCCCCAAGGCACCACTTCTCCGTCCAACGCGAGGCCGAGTCCCACGTACAGCAACTAGAAGGATGTGAACCTATGACATACAACTGTCTACTGGGGCTTTGGGGGGAAAAAAATGAATAAATAAAATCTTTAAAAAAAAAAAAAAAAGAAAAACCTCAACTAAATTAGAGCCGAGAAGGCCTGTAGGGGGAGCTCTCATGCCCCATCATACATCGTCAATTACAGTCATGTACCACATAATGATGTTTGGGTCAAGGACAGACTGCATAGACAACAGTGGTCCCCTAAGATTAGTACCATATAGCCTGTGTGTGTAGTAGGCTGTACCATCTAGGTTTGTGTAAGTACACTCTGATATTCACACAATGATGAGATCACCTAACAACGCTTTTCTCAAAAAGTGTCCCCATTGTTAAGTGACACATGACTGCACTCCAAACAGGAAGAGACACAGGCTTGCGTCTCGGGGGAGGAAGTACAATTACTTGACCACTGAAGGAAGATTTCTCTCCCCATCCAGCAACAGCCCAGCCAATGAGAAACGCTGCAGCTCAGCCAATAATAAGCTATTGCCGCCCTGAACTGCTATTTTCCTCCAATGGGCTTTCCTTTAGAACAGCCCCTCCCTACTCCACCCCTTCTCTATAAAAGCTGCTCCCTTCCTTTGTTCTCCCAAGTTGCCTATGGTTCACCATAGCATGCACATCCTGAATTGCAATTCTTTGGGCTATTCCTTAATAAACCCGTTTTGAGGGTAAAATAACTGGCGAATTTGCTTTTTAAGTTAACCCCAGCTACATGGGATTTGTGTTACAGGACAGGTAGAGCAAGACCTGTGGGAACAGAGAGAAAGGGTGATTCTTCTGCCTGGAGGGTCAGGGAACAACTCCAGAGAGCAACGGGCTGTTGCTCTCAAAAGGTGTGCAAAAAGGAAACACCGTTCTCCTACCGGCCTGATGGGTGCGCCCCTGCCTGGGGTCACTTTTGGGCCCGTCTCCAGCAGCATTGAAGGCCGATATGCTGACCAGGTATTTGGTGTGGCTGGTCAGGTTCTTCAGCTTCACCACAGTCTCTGGCAGGAACAGCACCTTCATTTTCTCCGTTTCGTTCTGGCTGTCTGCCTCCCAGTAGTAAACCTGTTGGGAAGAGCAAGAGGTTGGAGGCTGGCCACAGGGAAGGGATGGCACCCCTTCTGCTTCTAAGCCTGCTGGGACAGGAGGCCACTGCGTGCAAGATGAGACTGTGAGCGTGGGCCTCAGTGCCTTCTTGGGTAGAGCTATACTCTGGGTGGAAAGATGGAGGAGAAGCTTCCCCTGTGGAGTCAGGGGGTAGTGAGGTCAGTGACAGGGTGGAGGGAGATCTTATGGGCTAATGTTGTTTGGGGAGCTGATGATTAGCATTTGAGTTGTTCTTCTAAAGCTTGAGCACCGCCTGACTGAACAAAACACTCTTCAAGATGGGAGTCTGAGGATGGAAGGGATGCTTTCCTTCAGTTAGCAGTAGAGTGCTTTTTCTCATAGAGCTGGCTATGTTGGTGCCTTTACTCATGGCCTCCACCCCTTTCCCCAAGTCTTCTGGAGAGACAGGAGACCAGCCACGTCTACCTCCCACTCCAAGCTGTGGATAGAGCAGCCCTCGAGCTGCTACCCTTGTGCTACCCACATTTTGTTCAAGGCTGATGTTGAAGTCTTCCAACAATACTTTAGATGTTAAAACAACCAAAAATAACGTGGAGAAGAACCACGTTGGGCTCAGCACTGTTGGGAAGGCCCCATGTTTCTCCTGCATTGCATTTCCTCTCATCTACCTTCCATGTGCTCGTGGGTGAACTTGACACCTGAGCAGGAAGGTTTGAAGAGATTGCCAGAATTGCTTCCCTGGACAGTGGGCCAAGAGCGCTGCCCCAGCCAGTGCCAGCCAGGCTGCCCAAAGGCAAACCAATCCACGGATCCACCATGGCTCTGTGGGCCTAAACCAAGCCAGGCCATCAGAGCAGCTGCCCACGTGCAACAACAGCACAAGGGCTGCGAGGAGCCCCAGAAAGCCCCCGGGGCCAGCCTTCCTGCTGCACACACTCACGCGTCCGGCACATGCTGGAGCAGGCCCTGACGGGGGAGCATCACATTTCCACAGGCAAGATGCAGTCCAGCTTCTGCTCTCTGAACAGACCAAATAAGATCGTCTGCTCGAACAGGCCTTATAACTTGAGATCAATATCCAAGTTCAATGTCTTTATCATTTAGGAAATTGGAAAACATATTTTGAACATACATAAATAGTGCCTTGCCTCCAAGCTCAGGGGACTTTCCATTACCTCATTAATCACTGTAACAGCCCTACCAAGGAGGAAGGTATTCATTTTCATAAAACACCTACAAAAATCATTTTTAAATGGACATTTAATTGGTCCAATAGTCATCAGGGCAGGCTAGCCCACAGCATCTTGGGCTCCAACAGACCAGACAAGGAAATCCATTCTGGAGAAGGATGGGGGGATTTTCAAGGAACAGCACTGGGCTGTTTTCTTCGGGATGGTTTTAGCTGAGCTCACGGGCTTCTGAGTCTCTCTGCAGGCGTGGTCTTAGAGCTGGAATGCTACAAGTAGCTTCCTGCCCCCTGGATAAACCAACTCTGTGTAATTATTCATCCTCTGATACTCTTACTGGTATGGACTGCTATCTTTCTTTCATCCCATCTCTGGAACATTTAGCTAATGTGGAATCGTAATATTTTAGTGTGGTGGTTCTCAAAGCGGGGTTCCTAGGAACCACACCCCCCCTACCCTGGGGCAAGTTGTTAAAATACAAATTCTTGGGCCCCACCCTAGACCTATTGAGTCAAGGGACTCACGCCAGTGTTCAATAGAGACCCAAGGGCAGAGCTGGGATGGAGATCCTGTTCTCTTTAGTGTGCTCTGTTTTGTTGTCAGCAAAGGTCCTGGAGACTGCTGGAGTGGGTACAGGAGGAGAAAGGGTTCCCTGGGCAGGCCACTGTGGAGGAAGGGGCTCCTGGGCACAAACCAGCCACAGAGAGAACCAGGCCCGTTTCCCCCAGGCCGAGAGGCAAGGTCGGGCTAAGCCTGCTCCAGCTGCTCAATACCGCCCACAGCTCTCTGGGCTGACGGTCCGCTATCTATCTGCCAACGGGAATTGGGCAGGACAAAGTGAGCCGGGGGCAGCAACTGTGGAGCGGGGGCCAGGATTCCAGCCGAAGCCCTCAGGAACTCTGGGGATTCAGGCCGCTCATCGCGGCATGCAAGTGACCTGGAAGAAAGAGCCAAACCATGCGAGAGAGCATTGCCTTGTAGCCCTGGATGTTCCCGTTCTGGCTCTCGGGCGGCGGCGGGTCCCACGTGACCTCCAGCTGGCTGGCCGTGAGCGGGTTCACCTGGACGTTCTGCGGGGCCACGGCCGGGGCTGGGGAGAGAACAGCACAGGAGAAGCTGAGACGGCTGTTCACATGTGCAGGGCTCCTCATGCCGGGACGGGCCGCCTTAGAGCCTCTGCCCTGGACTGTCAGCTTTTATGCGAGCGAACACTATAAACCCACCCCAGAACCATGTTTCTAAATGCATAAAATCAGATCTGGAGAATTACAAAGAAAACCAATGATTTTGAGACACTGTGAGCAGAGTGTTTGAGAACAAAGGTTTGCTATAGCATCTCCGTGCTTTGTGATTGAGACATGGAGCCAGGCTTAGGAGCTGGTCTAATGACTGCAGGGATGTCCACGTGGTGAAGGGTGCAGGAGGTATCTGAGGTGTCAGGAACAGCCGTGATGCCAAAGGGGACATTGGCGGGCTCTGTCGCTGGGCGACAGGTTCTGCTGACCCTGTGGCGGCTTGTGACCACATTCATAATTGAGGGAGATACTAAGTTTCAGGTGGAGCTTGGAGCAAATAAAGGCGTCTGTGTTCCCATCACAGGTTCATGAGTCCCGGGGCAGGAAGCCCTGATCTGGACGGAGTTAGTCTGCAGATACAGGGCTGCCCCTCCAAGAGGGACGGAAACAAGGTTTCATCACTCCCCGTTCCTCTGTGAGGCTTCTTATGGCTGCAAATTCTGATCACCCTCCATTCCTACTCCTTCCCTCCCACCTGAGGAAGACCCCCAGGTGCTGTGTTGGTGTCAGCAGGGCCACACTGTGCAAGCAAAGGCCAAAGATGACTGATGAGGACGTGCTGGCCGTCGCCTCATCAGACAGCCATTGGGAAGTTGGGAATAACACAGAGAACACGTGTACGTTTTAGAACATTTCTCCATTCAGGGCATTCTCGCAGGACGGTCTGTTCTCTGCCTCCTGGGAGTTACTCCCTCTTCCCACCTGGGCATGCCCCATTGAAATCTGTGCTGAACTGGACTCGGGGAGCAACATGGAGCTGTCCCGGGAGCCTGGTGCGGGGGGCAGAGTGTGGCCAGGCTCTCCTCACCCCCTGCAGCCTCCACCTGTGGGCGCAGGCACTGCCTTTTCACTCGTCTACTGATAGGCTATAAATGGAAACAATAAAACAGTCACTGTCCGAGGGAGACAGCCCAGCACACCGGCTCTCTGGAGAGGCCTTCTCGGGGGAGAATGACCTTCGAGAGTCACCCCTCCCCACTTTCTGCGCCCTCCCCCCAATGTAGAATAAAATAGTAATTAACACCCACTCAGCCTGACACCAACTATTTATTTTGTTCTAACTGTGTGGTTCCCATATTATCGCTGCCCACCCTGCCGTTAATGGAAATGTTAATAACCCACACCAGGTTGTTGTGACAGATGCTCGGCCTCATTATCAGAAATTCTTATTTACCGCTCCATTAAACAACAGAATCACACAAAAAAACAATTCAATCAAAACTAACTGGAGGAATTTTAACAGCCACATTAATAATCCAAAACATAAATAAAGTTAATGTCTTTTGCATGTTTGCCATCGGCAACTCTATCGCAAAATTACTGTTGTACAATTAAAATGTGAAAGGCAAAATCGAGCACGGCCATTACCCTGGTAGTCGGTTAGAACCATCTGTGTGGGGTCCCCCCAGCCACCCCCAAGGTTTCCTTTTCAAAGACACGGCCGAGCCCAGGGACCACACAGCTCTGGTGTAAGAGAAACACGCTCTGGACACGGACGTCCACAGGAACCGGAGCATCCACGAGCTCCAGGAGGCCCCCCGAGTTCAGGGGCCCACGTGCCTCTTCGCTATGGGTTGACACGTGGGCAGAGCCCCCTCGTCCCGACCTGGGCAGCTGAGCCATATGCTCTGCTGTCCTCCAGCTGAGATGCTTCGATGTACCTACCAGCCATCCTGCAGCACGGTGCTTTTGTGCCATAAAACAACTGCAGGTAACAAAGACTTTTTTGACGATGACACATGCAGGGAAGAGAGAAATATATGGCAACACAGAGCAAAGCACATCAGTTTCGAGACTTATTTTTTTTAGCTCCTGAAAGCTTCTGGGTCTCCACCCTGACAGGAGAGCTTGACTTTCTGGAAGGCACTGCTCTTTACAACCCCGAATGTGATTCTTATTCACAATAAATGTTCAGTTTGGAAACTGATGGAGCATCTGCTGAGTCATTGTCTTTTTGTTCTCCCACCTTAGCATTGGTGGTGTATGGTGAACACAAACATCAGCTCAGAATGCTTTTTGTAAGTGCATGAAATTATTTTTAAAAAGCGTTTTAGCCCAGCAATCGCTGGCATGTGCTGATAGATGGATTGCTTACAAACAGCACTGAAGATGGGATGCAAAGGGTAAGGTGCAAAGCAGAGATTCTCTCTGGGCGTCTCAAGTCAAGGCCGACAAGGCTGGCACACAGCAGTTATCCATAGTCCTCAGTGAGGTGGCTCCTGCCACCCTGCCAGAGAGAGAGAGCCTGCCAAGGCAGTAACAGAGAAACTTCTGGGACTTCTAGAGGCACCCTGCACCTGACAGCAGTAGTGGAACTCCAGAGATTTCTGGAATCTTCTGGAATTTAGGCCAATTGCTTAGGGAGGCTCTGCAAAATTGGGTGCTGAATGCTGGTGGGCAAGCCCCACAGAGCAGTAAGGGCATCGCTTTGTCCACCTCACTCAACCCCCTGGGCAGCTCGCTGCCCCTGACGTGGCCATCAAGCATCAGCTGGATCAGCAAGCAGCCATCGGAACACGATGGCTATCCCTGACTCAGTCTTAACTTGCTGCTGAGTGGAGAGTGCTGGCTCATGGCCTCATGACTCCATGTCCCACCAGACCCCAGGTGAACCTGGGCTCCTGATCAGGGCCCTGCATTGCAGTCCTGAGCTGCAGCCCCTCTCACATCAGCGTTTTAGAACCTCTGCTACGAGGTAAGGTAGCTGGACAGGCACCACTATGCTCAAACTGCAGAAAGAAAAGGAAAAGATGTCGATAAAGATATTTGGTAAATGAGTAGAGGCTTGAGAGAGCATGAGAAAATTTTCTGTGCCCTAGGAACTGTTAATTCTGCAGTGAGAACGACTGTTTATTCATTCAGTCCTTCACTCACTCATTCAAAATATCCACTGCCTTCCCATGGGAGGGCTGCCCATCTGACCTGTGGACAGTCTCCTCCTGAGGGAGAGCTACTGTCTCCCCCTCTGACCCTAGTTTGGCCGATGACAGGTGAGCAGTAGTGACATGTGGGCATAAATGACACAGGACACTTCCCAGCAGAAGCTTCAAGAGGGTTCTGTGGGCCACTACCTCCCCTTTTCCCACTAACACAACAGCAGCAGGTGTCACACAGGGGCTGATCCCTCAGTCTGTGTCTTGGAAAGAAGACAACAGGAAAGACATAGATGACCTTGAAGGACAGGGAACATGAGAGAGAAATATACTGTTGGTGTTTATGCCACTGAGATTCGGGGGTCATTTGTTGCCATAGCATAACTTCCCTGACATTTTCCTGAGTATCAACCAGGCCCTAGGCTCAGGGCTGAGGGGTGGGTGAACACAAAGATGTAAAAGATAGTTTAACAAAGGAGAGAAATCACAATCATCATAGTACAAGGTGGGATGTGAGGACAGGTTCAAAGGGCCAGGAGAGGTCATTTCTGGCCGGACGACGTGGGTCTTTCCTGGAAAACAGGACATGTGGCTGGCTCTTAGATAATGGGGGGGATTTAACATGTGACAATGAGCCATGGAAGCAAGGACACTGTAGGAGGTGAGAATGGAAGGAGCAATATAACAGGTGAGGGGAGAAAGCAGGGAGTCTGTGGGGTCTCGTCAGACAGATGGTCATCCTGGAGCCACCCCCGGCCACGCCGGACACCTGCCGGTCCTAGAGCCAGGCTGGACCATGCTAGATTTCTATTTTCATGTTTGTAACCCAGTGATTTATTATTTGGGTAGAGCAAGTTTTCAACTGATAACCTGAAGATCATTGTTAATGTTTTAATGTAATGAAATAAATATTTCTTTATATGATTTTTTAAAAATTATACATTCATTGGTTCGATTTAATTGCATCAACATTTCTCTGGTCAAATGCTCTTTCTGACTTCTTGTCAAAGTAAATAGGAAATAGAATTCTCTAATGTAATTTACCTTCTCAGCTAACTTTGACAACACATCTGTTCCCCTAAGCAGGGGAACCCGGAGACAGACTCCAGGTCTGGGTAATTACTTAGCCTCTGGGGCCTTCTCGATACAAAAAGGAAGTTTAAACAGATCACAGAGCTTCAACTCAGAGGGGGACAAGTGAAAACTGGAGACAGAGCAGCGACTCAGTGCAAGAGATGAGGAAGGAACAGACTCTCTGAAGGCGAGCAGAGCCCAGAAACACAAAGACGTCGAGTCTGGAGGTGCACAGTCCCCCAGAAGACAGGCATGTGAATCACCGCCCTCACCAAACAGGACGTCCAAGGCCCGGGGCATCCAGACGGGCCAGGCAGCCATTAGCCGGCCCTCTGGAACTCCGCGTCTGTAAAGGAGCATTTCGGTTGACATTATAAAGTAATTTTTAACAAAGCTTACAACAGACAATTCAAAGTGAGAAGCTCATATTTGATAAATCTGTAACAAACACGAGGGACACGGATCGCCTTTTTCTCAACCTAAAGCCCCCATCTCTCCAGAAACTTCCAGACTTTTGGTGGTAAGATCTAGTTTGCCAGGGGCTGGAATTGTAGCGATCCATCAGTGGGATGTGGATGACAGCGCTGATGATGATATCGAGGGGGCTTTCTTTATGCCAGGTAACCAGGGAACTCTTCCAAGCCCTTCACTGGGGCTCACTTTATCCTCATAACCCCAGGAGGTTCCCATTACACAGATGGGAAGACTAAGGCCTAGAGAGATTAAATAAATTGCCCAATGTTCCACACTTAGCAAGTGTGTGACTTGGACTCCTACTCAAGCCCAGGCAGCCTGGCTCCGAGCGGAGCCTCCCTCCCAGCAGAAGTCCCTGGGGAGGGCAAGGACTT